TTATAAAATCTTCAATATCTACAATGGGAAACAGTTTACAGATCCTTGCTTAGGCCAGAATCACTATTAATTCAAATTCAAACACATGTTATCAATGCATTTTACAGAGACAATTCGATCAGATCATACAGCTAGATTGGTAAAGTTTTCTATTCAATGAAAACCAGCTGATTACAGAGACTCACTGACTTGCAGGGCATGCTCCTGAATGAAAATGTGGATAAGTGTTTGTTTTTCACAACTTTGTTTGAATTTTCTATTTAAAAAACAACTATCACATTCAGCTTTATAATAATATATTTCATTATACTTCAAACACAGACTTCAATTGTACATTATTGGTCATTTAGATACTACACCCACCAATTAACCCTTTGGACCCCGAGCCTCATTACTATCTCAGATTTTTTTTTTTCTGTTTTGTTTGTGTATACCTCAAAACTATGACTTAACATATGTGGAACTATGTACTTAATAAAAAAGTGTGAATGACTGAAAATATGTCTTATATTCTAGGTTCTTTAAAGTAGCCACCTTTTGCTTTGATTACTGCTTCACATACTTTTGGCATTCTCTTGATGAATTTAACATTGTATACATGAATATACATTAATGCATAGACAAATAGATTAATAGATAAATAAATATGTTTTGGTCATAAAAAAGGCTTATCCTATATTGGTTAACTTGTATTTGTCTATGTATTTATTCATGTAAATTTTTTTCCTTTTTTGCAAATTATGAAATATTGAAAACTGTCTTTCTGTTGTCTAATTGTTTAACTGTCTTTCTACATTTCCAATTTTACTTATTTCTGCTTTTCTGTCCCTGTATTTAATGAGGCGGGTGATTCCAACATTTGTGTCCAGCACATTGGTTAGAGTGGTGCGTATGAATTTTCTGTCCCCACTTCATCTTGTTTTGGGTCAAAATGGCTCCAAACAAGATAAAGTGGGGACATTTGCATGAATTCAAACAGCTTTTTTATAATGCAAGGGCTTTTTTTGCTATTAAGTCAGGATAAGAAATAAAAAGATACACTTGATAAAAGATAGCTATATTACTACAAGACTACATACCACCTATGTTTAAAATTGTAAGACTAGGAAAGTCTTATGCCGTCTCAACTGTGGCCACGTTACAAAAAGTCAGAGGAGTTTGTGGTGAACTGCTGGATGAAGTGCGTGAAAGGTGTGTTTAAGAGTGGGCCTGCAGAACTGGCTGGAGCTGCAGCTTTCTGGAGGTCCTGGTGTGCCAGGAGCTGGGGTGGTGGTTGATGCCTGGGACGGGAATGTGTTGGTGGGCTGGAGCCTGGTCTTTGAAGATGTAGGAGTAAACAGAGAAGGGGCCTGAATGATTCACTCTGCTAAGACAGAGGGCTGTGTAAGAGTTCTAGTTCTGTTATGTTTTTCTTTTGGATGTTCAGTTTTGCTTTGCTCCTTGTTTTCTAGTTTTTCATGGTTTATTTCTTAGTTTATTGTGTCCTTTGTTTTTTTTCTCAGTTACTGTCTTAGTCTTGGTTCTGTTATGTTTTCTTTTGAGTGTTCAATTTTTCTTTACTCCTTTTTTTCTAGTTTTGGTGGTTTTATTTTTATTTTGCTGTGTTCTCTGGTTAATTCTTAGCTACTGTTTCAGTCTTGGCTCTGTTATGTTTCTTTTTTTTTTTCAGTTTTACTTTTGCTCCATGTTTTATTTTGTTGTGTTTTCTAGTTATTTTCAGTTTTCTAGGTTTTTATTTGTTGCCCTCTGCTGCCCTTTTGTTTTCTCCTTTTTCCCTAGCTCATTTTTTGTTCTGCTCTGTGCACACCTGTTCCCAATCTGCTCGTTAGTCTTCTCTTTGTCTCAGTCTCCCTCAAATACTGTCGCTGTTTTGTTCTTCTTTGCCGGGTCCTCATCAAAGTTCCTCCAACTCCGTCTCTCTGAGCCTTCCTCCTTGTGATTTTGATCCCCCTGATGTCTCTTTGTTTTCCGGTACATTTTGACTAGTTTTCATGTTTTGATTTTTTGATTTTTGGACTCCTGGTTTCATGTTAGTTTGGACTCTGTTTTCGTTTTTGGATTACCTGCCTCTGTTTTTGGTATTCTCATTATTAAATCCTCAAGAAATTCACCTCTGCCTCCCTGCCTCTGCTTTTGGGTAAACAAACCATAACCAAATCGTGACAGGCTGGAGCTTATCTACAGGCTGCTAGGGCTCAACAGATGGGCCCTAGGCTCTCTATGGGAGTAGTCCTGTTAAACTCTGAGCCAAACTCTGCACTTTTGTTGATAAACCTGCAACCTGCACTTCAAGACAGTCCTCTTACTAAGGCCAGCATAAGTGACTATGTCATTTAATTAGCTGTGTCGAAGCTTATCAAAAGTGTCTGTATTCATGTAAAATGGAAGAAATCCTTGGAGAGCATTTTGTATTCAGACTTTTAAGAAAAAAAAAAATCCCTGCAATCCTAAGTGCATTTAAATTTACATGAAGGTGCAGCCAGGTTTGCATTTTTTGGAATAATTTGTCAGACAAATAGGTTAATTTGTTTGTTTCAGCAATGGAAAGAGCTCTTTTTGTTTACATCATTATCACCACCCAAGGATATCTGAAGCAGTCTCTTTTGAGGAAGCCCTCATCTGTAGTAGTTAAGGCTTTGGGAAGATTTATCTTATACAGCTCTTTCAATTTCTAACACCTTAACGTTCTTAAATAATCGTAGTATAGTATGGATGTTTTTCATTCAAGCCTTCAGTCCAATATATGCCTAATTAAGACAGCAAAAGGCCCCTGGATGATGTTGCATTTTTAGGGATGGCAACTGCCACACGTACAGACTGTAGACTCCCAAAGTTTAGTACTGCCACAAACAGAGACATACCTTAACTGTTACGAAGAATATCTATGTTGGATTCCGATTTTCAGCTAAATATGTTTCTGTATACAGTGGGAGCTTTGTAAATCTTAGCAAAGCATCTGTTTGCTGCACTATCAGAAGTTTATTTTATCAGAAGTGTCTTTAAAAGGATAATGTGTGGATCTTCATAACCCTCTTGACCACAGAAGAATGAACTACATAAGGAGGAATAATACAACATGGCAGGTAACACAAATTGGGCTCCATAGCACAAAACAAACTTTAGAAAAGGTGGAATATATATATATATATATATATACATATATATAATTTATTTATTTATTTTTTTTTAAACAGGATTCCCTCATATTATTGATACACTGGACTGCAAAAAAATTAAAATGTAACACCCCACTGGAGAACATGAGGACACTTCGTTAACAGAAAATGACAGCATTCATGTCAAAGTTAATTATTGTTAGGTATGTCAAGTAGCTCCTAGATTTATTATGTATATTACATTACCTGTGATTCTGAATGTGATACTCAATGTGATTACAGAACGGGGTTCTCCCTGGATCCCTTTTTAAACAGGGCTCCCTTTGTTTAAGTAAGGACAAACTTTCAGCTGCTGTTATCTCTGGGGATGGTGGGCCACACTTTGTGCAAGACAGTGAGGCTTTTTATAATAATTAAAAAATAAGTAAGATGATCAAATATGTGTACAGGTACCATCTAAGTTAATAGTAAAAGTTATTTATGCAATATAGTCAACTATTTATCCAGCTATTACCAGTCTGCAACATGTTGATATTGAATCCTAACCTGCTGCCAGCTCATCTGTTCTGTTTGGATGTTAAAATGATAAAAAAAAACAAGAAAAAAGTGACAAATTATAGCTGCTGCTTGACTTTTTTTTTATACCAGATGTGATTCATGGTGTATCTGGGAATTGATCCCATCGCTCACATCTAAGACTTAAACCACTAGACCACAGGGGGACTAAATTTTAAGGTAAATGAGGTATATACATGTATCACTATTAAAATGCACACATCTTAAAATCTTAGCTTCCAATGTGAATTTTTGAGTTGATAGTTGTTAATTTGAGAAAAATGTTTCAACCATGACATTTTCAGTTAGGAGAAGTAATCAGGAAATGTAAATTTTATGCTATTTAGGTGTTAAGTCAAGAAGTCAAGAAGAAATATTCTGATATTTTGTATATATGATTTATATATTTCATTATTGTGTAGGAATACCTACTAATATATATTATCTTAAGTGAAAGGAAATAATTGTATACAAAATGTTATTTTGTGAAATTAATTTCATCACATGCAGCTCATAGCTTGTTGTCATTTTTGATGGCACCATGAATTTTGGATAAAATTGTGGCCATATTACCCGTTCTCTGCATGATCTTAGCACTGATGACTGGATTATTGGTTTAGTTAATTTACCCGCCTAGCTTCGCCCAGTTTTCATTATCACTCATCACTTCTGTTACAGTTCCTATTTAAACTGCTTGGTTCCAGCCATCAGTGCCAGATTATTTGAGTCATGGATGAGAGTTCTCTAGCATATCCATTGTGTTATCCTGATTGCCTGATCCTGTTGAGTTTTTGCTCCTGGACTTCTGAAATTGCCTGCCCCTGTTCTGATCTGTTTGCCTGACCTGTCTTCGGACTTCTTTTGGATTCTGCCTGATAGCGAACTTGTATCTGTCTCCTGAGCCCAGCTTGGATATTCCCTTTGGTACCTCTTTGGATCTCTGATCTTCTGGCCTTCTTCCTCCTCGACACCAGCTTTGGATTACATACTTACTTCTGCTCAGGTTTGTTTTGGAATTGAAAGTTTAATAATCTTCAGTTCATGTTTTTTTTCCCGCTTTGGACCTTGGACTTTGTCTTTGTAACATTCGTTTAACTTTTTTTTTTTTTTTTTTAATGTTATCTGTTTTGAAGTATGAGACCAGCATCCTTGTCTTTAAATCAAACAGTGTACAGTTTAATTTAAAGCTCGCTGGTTTAATCACCACTGCTAAATGTTCTTTGACCCTATGTAGAGCCGGTGGAAGTTGCCGGTGTCAGTTACTGTTGGCTCCACCTCTGCCTCACATTTACTCAGTTTTTTTTTTTTTCTTCTGACAAGGAGGGGCTTTCGACAGAGCTGAAAATGAAAGCAGATAAGATTCACGAATAAAAGTCTGAGGAAAGAAAATCTGATTCATTGGGTTAAGCAGATCAAGTCCAAGATGCAGCTTTATGGAACTCTGGTCCTATTTCTGACCTTCTCTGTTGGTAAGATTAAAGTTTACTTCTTAGCAGCTTCTAATCTCATGATGAATGTAACTCAAGTAAAGATAATGTGGATTTTTGCAGATTTCCTTTTTCCCTAAAAAACTCTAGCATTATTCTTGGTTAACAGCAAAGGTTAAATGTTTTGCTTTAAACCTTACATTCAAAATATTTCTTCTAAAATTTGAGGAAAAGATATATTGTTTTTAATAAATCACTTTATTGCGAACATTGCACACATAGAGCACATGTTAAATTGTTGTTTCTTGTGCTTTTACTTAGCATGTGGATTGAGATGCTACTCATGTACAGCAACTGAGCCTGAATCCTGCACAGACACCAAAGCCTGTACTGTGATTTTTAACCGATGTTATTCTTTCAAGGTAGAAGGTGAGCTGCTAAATATCAGCGGTACTCTGCTGCTAAAATATAAAAAAAAAATAAAAAAAAATAAATATATATATATATATATATATATATATA